AATAATTCAACATCAAACCTTGGCATGCACTTACGAGCCAATCACTAAAAAGAAGAAAAAAAAAATGAACGAGAGGTGGACAAATAGCAAACTAAAAATAAATAACTAGTATAGCTGTCCCCCCCACACCTAGATCCTACATTGTCCTCAATTGAGGGATTAAAGCAATTAAAACGAAGAGGGCAACGAAACTTCCCTCACGAGTGGCGAAAGGGTAGGCGGGAAAGGTGCACGGAAACTGATGTGATAGAAGTACGCGGCCAAGGTCTGAGATATCTCAACTCAATTCAACCAGCAAATGCAAAACTCTGTCCACCCAAAATCTCAACAAAGCCTCCAAGTAGACAGTTAATTTCTCAACTCAAAAGCAGCAATTCCAGTAATAGCAGTATAGAAGTTGGAGAATAACCACACAATCACAATCAGGTAGCCAACTACTTGAAAATAACAAATGCTAATCAAAATACCCCCAACCAGTACCACTGGTGCAAAACGTAGTCCAAAATCAATGAAATTGCTATAGCAGAGTAGAGCAGTAGTAAAGCAATAGCCCCAAGTGTTAATCTAATCACAAGAAAGATTCTAAACCTCTAAAGAAGAACAACAGGCGACTGGAATTCCAATGAATAGAGCAAGTAGAGGAACCGTAGGTGGGAACCCAGTTCACCGAAGTCAATAAACAAACCCAGGAAACAAATAAGTCCTCAAATGAGTCAACAAATTGCACAAATGATCAGACCAAAATCACAGACACTGTTCCTCCAAATCAGCAATATAAACCAACATCCAGAATGTCCTCAAAAACTCGATTAAAAACTACTAATGCCAACAAGGAATGCAGTTGCCGAATTAAATCAACCAAAATTTCAACAAGCACAACACTGGCCGAGATCCTTCCCAAAATATCACAGACAATTGTTAAAATTCCAGCCCACCCAAGAACTTCAACAATTCCCCCCAAAAGTTTGAACAAATGTCCCCCCCCGGCACTGTGCTAGAGCACAACCAATTTCAACGAATGTGCTAATCAAAGAGGCCAAGAGCAGGGCAACTGTCAAACACCCAATAACCCAGAACAATTGAACTCAAATCCACAAAAAACACAATAAATATTCCCAAGAAATTGGCCGACCCGAAATAGCAAGTTAGAATATAGACCGTAGTAACACAGGCATAATCCCCGCACTATCAATTAGATAGGCAATAACAGCAAATGAACAAATCCGGAGTAAAGTAACACAGCTGCTAAATGATACCAATCAACACCAAAAATTGGGGATCGAGGTTGAAATACCTCTACCGGCTACCAAATAAAGAACTGGGGCGGTAGTGGTTGGCGTGAGGTGAGGCAAAGCTGATGATGGCCGCGGGAGAGAGAGAGGGAAGCGAAGTGGGTGGCGTGTCTGGTGGTCAGCCGCTGGTGGCGCACGAGGTTGCAGAGCTGGTGGCCGCTGAGGTTGACCGCACGGCGGTGGTCTTGGGCTGTGGCAGGCAGCGGCGAAATGGTGGCGGCTGGAGCACGCAGGTGGAGATGGCGCAACGGGCTCGCTGGGGAGAGAGCTGCGCGCAAGGGCTGATGGACTGGTGGAGGTTGGCGCGCGGTGTCGGTGACGGGCCGCGGCGGGCGGTGGTGGCATATCTGGTGGTGGAAAGAGAGCTGAGGGCGGCACTGAGCTTGGAGGTGTGCGGGTAGCAGGGGCGACGGACCAGCAGGGGAACAGAGTAGAAGAAAGAAAGAAAAGAGAAAGAAAGAAGAAGAAAGAAAGAAAGAAAAGAAAGAAAAAGAAAGGATTTTTTTTTTTTTGTTTTTACGTTGACAAGTCAAGGACTAGCTACGGTTAAGGAGAAAGAAAAATTCTTCCTTTTGATTCCGTATTACTTCCTCTTTTTTTCTTTTTCTTTTTTATTTTTTTCAAAATTTTTTTTATTTTTATTTTATTTTTTATTTGTTTTCTTTTGTAACAAAAAAGAAAAGAGGTAGCTACGGTTAAAAGAAATTTTTTTTTTTTTTTTGAATCCTTACCTTTCCCGCGAACGTGACGCGGGCGCGTCATGAGGGCAAGAGAGCTCCCAGAAGTTTCTGATGTTTCTGATCGTGAGCTTCCTGCACATCACCACGCGGGCACGTCATGAGGGCAAGAGAGCTCCCAGAAGTTTCTGATGTTTCTGATCGTGAGCTTCCTGCACATCACCACACGGGCACGTCATGAGGGCAAGAGAGCTCCCAGAAGTTTCTGATTGTGAGCTTCCTGCACATCACCACGCGGGCGCGTCATGACTGAAAGGCACCTATAAATCAGCAAAAATGAAAATTGAAACCCAAAATCAGTCGAATTCAAGGACAATACATCTAAACTACCACACGAAAAGGAACAAACAATTAAAAGGAACAATTGGGTTGCCTCCCAATGAGCGCCTTTCTTTAATGTCTTTGGCTAGACATTATCATGTTTTGCTCATGGAGGATAAAATCTTGTGGCTCGTCTTACTGCTTCATCCTCTATATAGTCCTGATAACCCTCGTAAATAGAATAATCCTTGAGCATACGAGCTACGGGCTTCCATGGACTAGTGAATAGCGCCAAACGAGTCGATGATAATTTACATTCTCCATTCACTCCTCCCTCACTTGCATTCATTGGTTCAAGATATTTTGCCATCTCCACTCTTAACTTATTCCTGTCATGAAATTTTAAATTTTCTGGTATAATAAAGTCAATTTCAATAACAGGAGTTGAAGAATAGGAGTCAGGAAAATATTGATTAAGGAGTGGAGAAGATGTCACCGCATTTGGAGATTGTTCACTGGATTCATTCACTTGAACGAGTTGATCTTGGAGTCTCATTTCTTGCACTTCAGCTTCCTTTTCAACTGCATCTTTAAATCCGTTTTCTTGAAACTCTTGCAGTTCCATGTCATTTGGCCGGACAATTGCACTCTCATCTTCCTCAAGATTGATATTGGTTTGTGCGGGCAATTCTTCCATTTGAGGAGCTAATCGCTCTATCCTGGATGTCAATTGACGCAGTTGATCTGCCAGGTCGCGAAGGCTCGCTTGTGTCTTCTGATGATATCGATTTAGGCTCGCTTGTGTCTCCTGATGAAATCGATTTGAATTAGCAATTAGTAAACCTATCATTTCTTCAAGAGACATACCTGACACGGAGGATGACTGCTGAGACTCTTGCTGTTGAAAATCCATTGGCCCGGTTGCATAATCAAAATTGGAATTATCCCACCATCCTTGATCATACCCGTTTGAATAAGGGTCATACTGCGTTTGATATTGGGGTGAAAAATCTCCAAAAGTATCAATTGGAGCGCTTAGATTATCTTGAAATGCGGGGCATGTGTCAGTTGAATAACCTGAATCAAAATAAGTTCCACAATTTGCAACAGCCCATTGATCATTAGGGAAAACATGAGTCTCATAACCCCATTCAGGAACAAAGTCCAGTCTATCATCAAAATATGGAATGTTAGCAGCCATAAACTATAAAAAAAATAAGAGAAAAATAAATTAAAAATGAGAACAAGGTGAACTCAAAAAGAAACAAATTAATCTGACACCAGTCCCCGGCAACGGCGCCAAAAATTGACAGGTGCCGAACCTGTGCAATAATAAGTACCTACTCGAGAAAAATACAGATTTTGTATATAGCGGCGAGTAGGGTCGAATCCACAGGGACTGGGAATAATTCGTTTCTTCTAGAGTCCAAGGTATGGGGGGTTTTGGATTAAATGCTAACTAAATAAATTAAATGCAGAAAATAAATAAAAGAAATAAATATTGGAGAAACTCTAGCCAAGGGTACACATCAGAAATGGTTCATGCACTGATCATTGATGCAGAAATAATTCCAACATTTAGCAATAGATTAGTTATAGTTGTCATGCACGCGATAAACAACCAACCCTTCCTTAATTTCTCGATAGCTAAGGTACGACCGTTAGCTATTTCTCTAACCCAAAAATAACCCTAGGTACGACCGTAGGATTTAATTTCTAGATTGCATTAATAATTAGAAAGGCCCAATCCTAACCAACAAACACGCTACGAGGGTTTGTTTAAATTAGATCATATGCTCCCCTGACATAAACCCAATTACGCCAGTTGCTACTGAGGTAGAGATAACGAACAATTACGGATTCAATTACCCCTATTTAGCAAAAATAGCCTATATGAATAATTAATTATTGCGCACTAATCAATCATACACAAGGCCATAGCAATTAAAATCAAGGAACATATAAATACCAATAAATGAAGAAAATAATTAAAACAGATTCGATCTCACAGTAATTGTCGAACCAAATCGTCAGTTGTCCCCTTGACTAGAAAAGCTTAACCACGCCTCATGAGAAAATCTCCCCGTTGGGGAATATTGTCGAATACCTGGCGTGTGTCAGAGGCCAGTCCAAAGAAAGAAAACTAGAACTAAACTAAAAAACTAAAACTAAAGCCCTCGATCTATATTGCTTCTGTACGTTGTCCCCCTTTTAAAGCAACAAAAGAAAGATGACTGAAAGCTATCTAGGTGGTCCCCACACATGTGGACAAAGCCTCCCAAGTACTTCTTGTTCCAAGTCTCTCTACGTTGCTTTCTTTGAAGCCCAAATGACTTATAGCTTTGTGGTCCCCACCAATCCAAGGGCCCAAGGATTGAAACCCTTAGAAGTCTCCATATTTTTCACAAAGTCCCTCCTTTTTGGTAGTTTTCTACTTCATTCCTGAAATTGATTTCAAATACCAAATATGAGTAAATATCAGCAATTAACACAATATTTGTCAGGGATAGAAGGGAAAATTAATAATAAAAATACCAACAATTAACACCCTATCATAATCCTTGGAGGTTTTTTTTTTATAAACAGGTGACGTGGGTATTGGTATCAAAGTTTAGGGTAAGACACCTGATTTATAGTTGAAAACTCTGTCAATTGGGGATATGCTAGAATCAACCATGGCTAAATATAATTGTTCCTCTCTTCGATTTCAATTCTACTCATCCCGGCAAAAAGTGTCATTGGCATTGCCATCCTGTTTGCTTTCCTCCTTTATCGGTGTCGTCGGAGGCATTTATTGAGGTATGATACAATAGAAGATTTCCTACAAACAAACAGCAGACTCATGCCCATTAGGTACTCATACAAAGAAATTAAGACAATGACAAAAAAATTTGAGGAGAAACTAGGTGAAGGAGGCTATGGTTTGGTTTACAAAGGCAAATTGCGCAGTGGAAGTGCAGTTGCTGTCAAGATGCTGAACAAATCAAAAGCTAGTGGGCAAGAGTTCATCAATGAAGTTGCGACTATTGGAAGAATACACCATGTGAACGTGGTTCGATTAGTGGGATTTTGTGTCACTGCCTCAAAACATGCTCTAGTGTATGATTACATGCCAAATGGCTCTCTGGATAAGTTAATTTTCTCAAATTGTCAAAATGGTTCTCCATTGAGCTGGAAGCAAGTTTGTGAGATTGCAAAGGGGGTTGTTCGTGTCATTGAATACTTGCATCAGGGGTGTGATATGCAAATTCTGCATTTTGATATTAAACCGCATAACATCTTACTTGATGAGAACTTTGTTCCAAAAGTTTCGGACTTTGGACTTGCAAAACTTTACCCGATGGAAAAGAGTATTGCAACTCTTACTGCTGCGAGAGGAACTTTAGGTTACATGGCCCCGGAACTGTTCTATAAAAAGATTGGAAGAGTCTCACATAAGACAGACGTTTACAGCTATGGAATGTTACTAATGGAGATGGCTGGGAGGAGGAGAAATGTGGATTCGCATGCTGAGCATTCAAGTCAAATATACTTCCCTTCATGGATATATGACAAATTCGATCAGGTGGAGGAAATGGAAATCGGAGATCTTGCAATTGAAGAAGAAAAGACAATTACACGAAAATTGATTTTGATTGCATTGTGGTGCATACAGATGATACCTGAGAATCGTCCTTCAATGAGAGAAGTCCTGGAAATGCTTGAAGGTGATTCTAGTGGCCTAAAGTTGCCTCTTAAACCATTGTTTTACCCTCCGGATTCACCCATATCCATGCAAAGAAGCAGCAATAGTAGTTCTTCTGATGAGTCAACGGCACCCCTATGTAGCTCTGTTGCTTTAGAAATAGAGCAGATGGATGACTAAGTAGAATTCGTGCATTCAGTGAAATCTTTCTCTAGTGGATTTGTCTTTCAAACTATCAAATATGCCACCTAGTTCCAGATAACATGGCAAACTGAAATATTAGTTTAACTTAATAATTTCTACAATTGACATATCCTTGTAGCCATTTTTCTTCAATGGTTTTTTCCTTTGAAACATGTCGTTCCTTTTCATCAACGTGCAGAATAAGACATTTCCTGGATCCTGCTTGCTTAAGTAAGTGGAGGCGAATGCTGTTGGGAAAGGGGTACCAGTACAGACGCAAAATATCAGAGTTAGCTCATGACAAATTTCTCTTCCCCAAAGTACCAGTTAAAAACAGGAACAAACCAAATCACCAAGTAATAATACCAACAGTGATAATAAAATGCAGGGAAATTAAAAAGGCATAGCACACCAAGATTTTTACGTGAAAAACCCAAATTGGGAAAAATCACGGGACCTAGTCCAGTCAAAATCTCCACTATCACAATAATGGGAATACACAGGTCTATCCGTAATATTCGGATGACAATAATATCACCACTACCAACCAAACACAGTTGCTACAAAATCGCCCCCAAAAGCTACAACTGTCAAAGAAATGGGTTTGGAAAGGTGTTACCAAACGAAAAGGAAATCTGAAATCTGAACGGGTAGATGAGTAAAACTTGACGAGAGGATCGCGTGTGTAAAATTTCGTTTCAATCGGGTTTCGAATCATTTTCCAATCAAGACCTTGAAGTCTCTCTCTCTCTCTAGCCCTTTCTCTCTCTTCGTCTCACTCAAAAGTGGCGGCTGGCCTTTTTTTCTTTTCTCTCTCGCACGAGGACCGAAGCTTGAAAATTCACTCTTACGGCTGCTGCTGCTTTCTATTTACACTTGAGAAACCCTCAAGTGTTGTATAAGTAGGTTGGCCCACAAATGGGCTGGCCCACACCCAACAATCTCCCCCTCCATCTCATTTGGGGGGCTTCACCAAACCTGCTTCTTGTCTGCAAAACAAGAGTTTCTCCTTAGGCAATGCCTTGGTAAACATGTCAGCACCATTATCATTTGTATGCACCTTCTCAAGCGTCAACAACTTGGAATCCAGTACTTCTCGAATCCAATGATACCTCACATCAATGTGTTTTGATCGAGAGTGAAATATAGAATTCTTACACAAATGAATAGCGCTCTGACTGTCACAGTAAAGACTATACTTCTCTTGTTTCATACCTAACTCTTGAAGGAATTTCTGCAACCAAAGAGTCTCCTTGCATGCTTCAGTGGTTGCAATATACTCTGCCTCTGTACTAGAAAGGGCGATACATTTCTGCAACTTACTTTGTCATGACACTGCTCCTCCTGTAAAAATCATCAAGTATCCAGATGTGGACTTCCTATTATCAAGATCACCTGTCATATCTGCATCAGTGTATCTATCTAACATAGTTTTACTATTGTCGAAACATAGGCACAATCTAGAAGTTCTTTTGAGATACCTGAGAATCCATTTGACAGCATTCCAATGCTCCTTACCAGGATTAGAGAGATACCGACTGACTACTCCAACTGCATGAGCAATATCTGGCCTGGTGCAAACCATAGTATACATCAAGCTACCAACGACCGAAGCATAAGGAATTTTTTTCATGTCTTCTTTATCTTTCTCATTTGTAGGACACTGTTTGATATTCAATTTAAAGTGACCTGCAAGTGGAGTTGAGACTTCCTTAGCATTGCTCATGTTAAATCAATTGAACACTTTCTCAATGTATTTTTCTTGAAACAACCAAAGCTTCCCATTTTGCCTGTCTTGTGAGATTTTCAATCCCAATATTTGTCTAGCCGGACCCAAATCCTTTATTACAATGGATTTACTTAACTCCTTTTTCAACCTGTCAATTTTTAAAGTATCACGGCCAACAATCAACATGTCATTAACATATAGCAAGAGAATAACAAAATCACCATTTGAAAAATTTTTCACATAAACACAGTGATCAGATGTAGTCCTGTGGTACTCATGGTCTGTCATAAAGGAGTCAAACTTCTTATACCACTGTCTCGGTGCTTGTTTCAACCCATACAAGCTCTTCTTGAGACGACATACAAGATTTTCCTTATCACTTTCTTTGAACCCCTCCTGTTGCTCCATGTAGATCTCCTCTTCCAAGTCGCCATGCAGGAAGGCTGTCTTCACATCAAGTTGTTCGATCTCTAAATTCAAACTAGCTGCAATACCAATAACAACTCGAATTGATGACATTTTTACCACAGGAGAGAAGATTTCTTCAAAATCTACACCCTTCTTTTGACTAAATCTCTTCACAACCAATCTTGCTTTGTACTTTGGTTGTGAGCTGTGCTCCTAAGTCTTCAACCTGTAGACCCATTTGTTCTTCAGAACTCTCTTACCCTTAGGCAATTTCACTAGCTCATAAGTGTGATTTTCATACAGGGACACCATCTCCTCTTGCATGGCTCGCAACCAATCTTCTTTATTCTCATGCTCCAGAGCCTCACCGTGGGATTCTGGCTCTCCTCCATCTGTCAACAACACATATTCATGAGGATTATATCTGTTAGAAGGTCTCCTCTCTCTGGTAGATCTCCTAACCTTATCTTGTAGTGGCGGTGGTAGAGTAAGTGGTGCCTCATGTTCAGGTTCATCAGCAGTAGGATTATCACCGTCATTAACATTCTCTTTCTGCTCTGTCTCAGCTCCCTCTTGATTAAAATCAACAGGTACTGGAATTGGATTTGGATCTGAATTTGAGTTAGCAGAAATGTCATCTGAGGATTTTGAGTTGTCACATTTATCAATGTCTTCAATGGTTTGATCTTCAAAGAAGACAACATCTCTGCTCTTGATCACCTTCTTTTCAATAGGATCATACAGCCTATAACTAAAATCTTCATGTCCATAACCCAAGAAAATGCACTGGTTTGATTTTACATCAAGTTTTGACCTTTCATCTTTGGGGATATGAACAAATGCCCGACAACCAAAAACTCTCAAATGCTTAAAGGACACATCTTTTCCCGTCCATACTCTCTCTGGGATATCACCATCTAGAGGAACTGATGGAGAAAGATTTATCAAATCAACTGCAGTTCTCATTGCCTCACTCCAAAAGGGTTTTGGCAGTTTAGCATTAGAGAGCATACATCTGACCCGCTCAGTGATGGATCTGTTCATCCTCTCTGCTACTCCATTCTCTTGAGAAATTTTTGGTACAGTTTTCTCCAATCTGATTCCATGGGACTTGCAATAGATTTCAAATGGTTCTCTGTACTCACCACCATTATCAGCACGAATACACTTTAACTGTTTACCAGTTTCTTTTTTAACTTTGCTATGAAAATCCTTAAATACATCCAAAACCTGATCTTTGGATTTCAAAGCAAAGTACCAAACCTTTCTAGCAAAATCATCAATAAAAGTTACAAAATAAATAGCACCACCAAGAGACTTATCTTTCAAATAACAAACATCAGTGTGAACCAATTCTAAAGCATTCAATTTTCTAGATGGAGGAAAATTTTGAAATGCAACTCTGTGTTGTTTCCCATAAATGCAGTCAACACAAGGTTTAAGTGCATTACCTCTAATTCAGGAAGGAGCTGTTTGCGAACAAGTGTCTGAATCCCTTTTTCACCCATGTGCCCAAGTCGTGCATGCCAAAGGTTAATTGATGAATCACAAACTGCATTCACTTCTCCCTTCCCCAACTTGGCTTACATCAAGTAAAGAGTACTCTGTTTCTTTCCTCTAACAACAACGAGATTTCCCTTGCTGAGTTTCCATTTGCCTCCACCTTACGAGCTATAGTAGCCCTCATCGTCAAGTTTTCCTGTAGAGATAAGATTAAGACGAATATCAGGGACATGTCGAGCATTTCTTAATATCACCTGGCACCCGGTATCTGTATCCAAATATGTCTCCCATGCCAACAACTTTGTATGAGACCTCATTTCCCATCCTAACATATCCAAAATCTCCTTCGGTGTAGGTTGAGAAGAAATGCCTGTGAGGAGTAACATGATAGGATGCACCCGAATCAACTACCCAATCACTATCATAATGAATAATATTCACCTGACCATCGTCACAGAACACAAACATATCATCATGAGCTGCCACAACTGCTGTAGTGTCCTCATCATCTTTTTTCTTCGCCTTACCTTTTTTCTCAGCCTGATCCTATTTTAAGATTCTGCACTCCTTCATATAATGCCCATTCTTTTTACAATAATAGTATGCAACATTTTTTCGTGACTCAGACCTGCCTCTGGATTTGTCATTCCTGTTGTGGGGACCTCTATTTTTGCTTCTTCCTCTTCTTTCTTTCTTTTCTGTCACCAGGGCTTGGGTCTCATAGACAATTCCTTGTTCATTCCTCCTAAACTCTTCATTCATCACGGCCTCTTTTGCAATAACCATGGTCAACACACCATTCGGAGCTGAATTACTGATGGAGACCACCATGATTTTTCAACTATCCGGTAGTGAACTGAATAATAATAAAGCCTGCACTTCATCATCCAGATTCAAATTTAATGTAGTTGCCTGGTTTATCAATCCTTGAAAATTACTCAAGTGTTCAGTCATATCTTCCCCATCCTTATATCTCATTCGAGTAATCTGCTTCAGACAGCTAGCCTTGTTCAAATTTGTCTTTCTTTCATACATACTCTCAAGTTTTTTTCATAATATATCAGATCTGGTGTCATTAGCAAAATGTTGAAAAATATTTTGATCAATCGATTTTCTAATATTACCAACAGTTTTCCTGTGCATATTAGCCCATTTTTCATCACTCATATCACTTGGTCTACATTTATCCCCTAGAACAGGTTCAAACAAATCTCTACAATACAAGTAATCTTCCATTCTAGACTTCCACATCGAATAATTAGTTACATTTAATTTTATCATACAACCACTATCCGAATCATCAATTTTTAATCAGTACAAATAAGCAGCCTAACCTGACTGCTCTGATACCACTTGTTGGGAAAGGGGTACCAGTACAGGCGCAAAATATCAGAGTTAGCTCAGGATAAATTTCTCTTCTCCCAAGTACCAGTTAAAAATAGTAACAAACCAAATCACCAAATAATAATACTAACAGTGATAATAAAATGCAGGAAAATTAGAAAGGCACAGGACACCAAGATTTTTACGTGGAAAACTCAAATTGGAAAAAATCACGGGACCTAGTTCAGTCAAAAACTCCACTTTCACAATAATGGGAATACACAGGTCTATCCGTAATATTCGAATGACAATAATATCACCACCACCAACCAAGCACAGTTGCTACAAAATCACCCCCAAAAGCTACAACTGTCAAAGAAGTGGGTTTGGAAAGATGTTACCAAACGAAAAGAAAATCTGAAATCTGAACCGGTAGATGAGTAGAACTTGACGAGAGGATCGCGTGTGTAAAATTTCGTTTCAATCGAGTTTTGAATCACCTTCCAATCAAGACCTTGAAGTCTCTCTCTCTTTGTCTCACTCAAAAGCGGCGACTGGCCTTTTTTCTTTTCTCTCTCGCATGAGGACCGAAGCTTGAAAATTCACTCTTGCGGCTGCTGCTACTTTCTATTTAAACTTGAGAAACCCTCAAGTGTTGTATAAGTGGGTTAGCCCACAAATGGGCTGGCCCACACCCAACAAATGCTTCACTGTCTAGATGATATACTTTTCAAATAATCATGAAGAAGAGAACTAGTGTTTCTTCTTGTACCTCCTTCTTTATGGTTCAATTATTTAAGTTGAGGTTTTGTCGTGTTGAAGAATTCAAGTACGTAAGAAGCATCACGACATTGGCACCTTCTCTTGAGTTATGGATAGGTTAACTGTTATTGATTGCTACTGTCATTGTCTCCGAGATCATATGATTTGATTACAAAAGTCACTCATTGTGCCTAAGCTTTAAAGGGGAGTGCAGAGGAAAATGGAATTGCTGGCCATAGGGAGCTTTAAACCGTTCTGAAAAGATCTAAACTTCAGTTTTCCAATAAACGTTCTTGATATGTGTTGCACGAATACAACATTTTTAAAAGTTTTGATCTTAGAGAAAGAGATGACATATTAGGCTTACAAATGAACGGTGTAGGAGTACTCCTTAAACGAATGTCTCAGGAACAAAGGACATTAAGCAAGCATTTCTTGGCTTGAAGGCACCATTGTCCAGCTAGGTAGGTCAGACAGACAAAAATATAGAACTAATTAGTTCTAATGACAGTTAACAAGAAATCACGAGCTCAAAGTGCGAAACAGATGTGGCATCTAGATTCCACAAATGCTTATACACATGCTTATCATATTAGTTCATGAGTCGAAGGAATTATAAGTATCTCTATTTGTGCTGAATTTCATATTAACATAGGCATTCAAAACTATTTTATTCATTAGAGAGTACTAAAACTACTTATCTTAGTGAAAATGAATTAGTACCCAATTTAACGTAGGTAATTCCTGTGGTACCTATGAAAGCGAGAGCCTAATTTAATTTCTAATTCTTAATAATGGAGCAAATTATCAATATTTCAATTACAATTCAGTCCCATACTAACAAGAGCACAAGAAATATTTTCGGACCAAAAACAGGGAAATGAAGAAATGGGAATTAGGAACGAACCGGCCTGACACTGGATTGAGCCCATCACCGTCCAAACTTTGGGACTTACATATTCAAAGCCACCATCTCAAACTACTGATAAGAATTCATCCAAACTTCAAGATTTTCGCTCATCTTCCCTTTTCACTTTTGATTAAGAGGCCAAGTATAAAATAAGCTTAGACAAAACCCTCGCAAAAATACACTCCAAAAACTAGTATTTCATCAACTGACGATTTCCTCGCAAAATTTCTAAAATCACCACATAGTTCCACTAAATTAGCCAACACAATAACAAATAGGCAAAAGGCCTATTAAAGAAGTCAAAAATGAAACTCCAACTACTTGAGAGGAGGGATGGATTGGATGGTATTAGGGAGGACTAACACTTACACCTAACTTACACTTAAACCCCCCCCAAGCACATTATTTGTTCTAACTCTTTGATTTGCAAAGCTTTCACCTTGATCAAGAGAAGGACTAAAGAGATATTTTGGAGAGAAATAGTAGGAAGGGTTAGAAAGAGTAAAGTGAGGTCCAACTCAAAATTCTTCCAATACAAAAACTTGCTCAAATTATTAATTAGTCCCCCAACTTCTAAACTTAATCACATAAACCTCCAAGATTATATAACCTTCACTAATTAACCCATGAAATAAAGTTAACGTGGTCATGAGTATTACACTTATGTAGGGATGGCAACGGGTACGGGTGCCCGCGGACACCTGCCCAGTGGGGGTCTATTGGGACGGGGGCGGGGATTTTTTACCCCCGCTTAGAAATGGGGCGGGGGACGGGGGTATACTCCCCCGCCCCGCCACCCGTTTGGAAAAAAAAAAGAAATATGTATATATGTGTGTGCATAATTATATATATAATGATATTATCAATTATACTACTAATTATACATGTCTATTAATAAAAATTATTAATTATTTATACTAAATTTTATTAATACATTTATATTAAATTCCTAACTACACTTAATACAATAACACTTTTTTCTAAAAAAATATAATAATAATTTAGTGATTGTATTTGTATCAAAAGTAAAAACTTGATTATTTTAATTATATTTGTTTATCATATTAGATTGTATTCAAATAACTTTTGTTTAATTATTTTTATGAGTTTCAATTGTGAAGTTACAAT